AAGCTCGAGGCTAAAAAGTCATAACAGCTCGGGTCGCGAAAAATTTTTTTTTAGAAGCTATCGCGGAAAATGTTGAAGGGGGGGGGGGGGGCGGATTCCGCTCCCCCGGCCCTTTTAGGGTTAAGTTGATTATATATATTGCTTTTTGACATTATCATCGAAATTCCATCAAAAAGTGGACGGAAAACTTAGGTAACTTTTTTTCCGTCCATTTTTGGTTTCTATGTAGACATACACTTGTAGGTCAAGTCCCCGTCGCTACGAGCTGGAGACCTGGACGGGCCTTGTTAATGTACACATGATGAGGTGGCGAAAATGCTCCTCCAGCTGTTGAATTTCAGTGTTTGCTTTTATTCGCCAGTATATGAAGCCCGGGAAGGGACAGGGTGGAATTTTTTTGGGGAGTTTGCTAATTCGTTCGCACAAATTACTAATTCGTTCGCACGAATTACTAATTCGTGGGAACGAATTACTAATTCGTTCGCACGAATTAGCAATTCGTGCGAACGAATTACTAATTTGTGCGAACGAATTACCAATTCGTGGGAACGAATTAACAAACTCCAGTAATTCGTTCGCACGAATTAGTAATTCGTTCGCACGAATTACTAGGCCTAATTCGTTCCCACGAATTGCTAATTCGTTCGCACGAATTACTAATTCGTTCCCACGAATTGCTAATTCGTTCGCACGAATTAGGAATTCGTGCGAACGAAATAGCAATTCGTGCGAACGAATTAGGAATTCGTGGGAACGAAATAGGAATTCGTGCGAACGAATTAGCAATTCGTGGGAACGAATTAGTAATTCGTGCGAACGAATTAGCAAACTCCCCCAAAAAATTCCACCCTGTCCCTTCCCGGGCTTCATACCAGTATGTTGGCCGAACGACGACTATATTTTCTTCAGACGAAGTTTCTATTTCGCAGTGTCCCAAAAGACAAAATATTAGATTCGAAATATAAACTTAGATATATGAAGCCCGGGAAGGGACAGGGTGGATTTTTTTTTTGGAATTTCCTAATTCGTTCGCACGAATTGCTAATTCGTTCGCACGAATTCCTAATTCGTTCGCACGAATTAGTAATTCGTTCGCACGAATTAGTAATTCGTTCGCACGAATTACTAATTCGTTCGCACGAATTACTAATTCGTGGGAACGAATTACTAATTCGTTCGCACGAATTACTAATTCGTGGGAACGAATTAGTAATTAGTGCGAACGAATTACTGGAGTTATTCGTGCGAACGAATTGGTAATTCGTGCGAACGAATTACTGGAGTTTGCTAATTCGTTCCCACGAATTAGTAATTCGTGGGAACGAATTAGTAATTCGTTCGCACGAATTAGTAATTCGTTCCCACGAATTCATAATTCGTGCGAACGAATTACTAATTCGTTCCCACGAATTAGTAATTCGTGCGAACGAATTAGTAATTCGTGCAAACGAATTAGTAATTCGTGCGAACGAATTAGGAAATTCCAAAAAAAAAATTCCACCCTGTCCCTTCCCGGGCTTCATATAGATATCCATGGTTTGTGTGCAGTATAAAACGTATATATTTTCATTTTCTGTTCAATATTTCTTAAATATTTCTGCAATATTTCTGCAATATTTCTTCAATCACGTGACATTTTTCGGGGCTATACGGGCATGCAACTTTTCCTCGGATCAGCTGATTTCCTCGTTTTTCATTTCACATTATACCATTTCAAATTGGAAAACACTGTAGGGGGCCTATAAAGTCTTGTTGAGCTAAGAAATTTCCATCCCTTAGGCCCCCCCCCCCCCAAAAAAATAAGTCGGTCTCTGGTCAGCGCGCGCGTCGATTTTAAGCATGCGCGTCGATCTTTTTTTTTTCCAAAATGTTCCGCGGTATTTCCAACAGCGCCCTCTATTTCCGCACCTCCTCAATTTTTTTTACCAAAAAGCACCAAGGAATGGGAAATTGCACCAAGGCAAATGATCGAAAGCACCAAGGCAAATTGTGGAGGACACCAATGTACATAAGGACACCAAAAAAACAAAATAGTACCCACCTTGTCTGTACAATCCAAGCTTGAAGAAAAAAAAAGGAAAAAAAAAAAAAAAAGCCGCGTGGCCGCGTCAATTCCGGAACTTAGGTCTGACCAGAGACCGAATATTTTTTTTTTTTGGCCTTAAAATTATATTCTGTCAGAATTTTACCTTGCATTTGAAAGGTATAACTATTGATGGTAACGTGTCTCCCTATTAGGGTATATTTACAAGTATATGTGTTACCCAACCTATTCTCATGGTTTGTGGTACAAGGGGTCCAAGAATATAAGTGTGGGAACTTAATACATTTTGTTGTCTGGTAAAAGGAAACAGCTGTTATTTTGTGTTAATATATATATATACAGTTTATAACATTTATACTGGTTGCAGTTGTAATTATGTTAATATTAACAATGATTGAATTGGAATGGACGCCAAGCTCGATTTTGAAACACCATGCATAATTATTTTATGTTATATATGTACTGGTGGTAGAAAAAGCAACCGGCCTTTAAAATATATATTTAGTGTTTCAATTCGAAAGTATGTTGATCCTTACTACCAGTTTTGTAAATTGTATTGTGAGTTGGATATTGTTGATGAAATTATAGAATTGAGAGTTTGTTCGATGAGTATGGCCGATTGCACATGCAGTAGGCCTTTATTAGACTAACTTTCTTTTACTTGCAATGTGTATGATCAGTTGAATTTGAATCAACTTTCGTTTATTACTTTGTCAAAAAAATGGAATACTACTATTTTCATCACGTTGTAACTGTAATGGTTTTCTGTCTGAAAAAAAAATAGCCAAACAGTTTTGACAAAGAAATAAACCACCACGTTGGAGATACACTGTGTGGCAACTGATATTGGTGGAAATAAATAACGGTTTGCGCAAACTATTTTTGGTTTCAGGGTCTGAAGGCCGAATTAGACGTTCTCTCTATGAGCAAATGTTGGTTGCAACGTAGGTATACTGTCATGGGATAACACATTTTGTACTCAAAATAACGGCAAACCCAGATGTGCCACTGTGGGTTGACAAACAACAAGGCCCTTGCGAAAAAAAAAAACACCTTTGATAGTGTCCGATCACTACAGTCGTTTTAATTGCCCAACTCACCCCTGGTAGGATCTTGTCTTGTACGTCCGTCATGATGTCCTGCCACGCCTCGGGTTGCTGGGGCGCGTTCGCAGGTAACAGTTTGTGCAGGTAGCCTGGCTCCACGGAGGGTAGCACGGGACGGTCCTTGACGCCCTTCAGGTAGTCCACGATGAAGTCAGCCACCTCACCGGCAGCACGTCGGAACTCATCCGCATTCATGCTGCGAATATACAAGTGCGCTCCTTATTTGTGAACTAGTAAAAGTAATCAATATAAAATGAACCCTTAATGTGAATGGAATGCCTGATGTTGTAAAACAGTGTAAAAAGCTGTTTATGCCGATGACATGCGGGCGTATTCTTTGCCTGACAGAACTCTACTCAAATTGGTAAAGCCCTGGAGGCTGACATGTAGAGGGTGACTCAGTCGTTGAAAGAGAACAAACTTACTCTTAAAAAGATATACGTACGGCCTGTAATGCGCCCAATTGGGCTACAAATGTGTTTGAAACGAAACTATCAGTATGAAAGCGCATTTAAAATAGGATGTAAACGTCCACATAACCATGCTGGGCGTTTTCTGTGCTATTCTTTTGAGAACCATGCGAGAACGAATTTCGGGGGTCACATTTATTTGACTGCGAAAAAATCGAGCTGTTGAGTGCTAGTTGTGAATCCTGCCGCACAGATTATTCTGCGGACGTGTAAGAAACAACATTTGTGTATTGGTGCTGCGTGTTTTATGCCACACACGACGTGTACAGCTCATTGAAAAGAGACGACTGGAACTACGTAGGCCTATATGCGTACGCCACAAAATATGCGCCGAGTCCGATGTAAACAACCCAGGTTTTTGGTCGTTCTTCGGGAACGTTAATACATTAGGTTTGCTTTCAACCAGATGTTGGAAATGGGATAAGGCCCTCAAAAACTGTGGACTGGTACCATATTTCAATAGGGGGCGCTGTTCAAATTCGACGATTGTTAACACTAGATTAATTACAGAATGGTGTACAAAATAACAAATACCCCTCTGTCCGTATTTCGAACAGGCGGACATTAAAATATTTTTTTTTGGGGGGGGTTCGCATTTTTGTAAAGGAATTTCTATGAGGAAAAAAATGACATAGCTGGGTTTTTTTTACCCCCAACCTCCCCCCTGGATCCGCTCCTGGATTGTATTTTGAGGCCTATCACACTGCGTGAACAGGAAGGTAAATCACCTCAACAGAGGGGTCCCCTACTCGGCCTCCGTCAATCTTCTGCCTCTAGAGCTTCCCGTCCCCTAGCTAGCTGCAGGCGCGAAAGAATATTTTTACAACCAAACTCCTGACCGGAAACGCACACAATTTGATCTTCCTTGATCTGACCCTGCAGTCCAGTCCGGCGGATATAACTGAACTTGGGACGTTTATTATAAGGTATTCGATTATCCACTGAATTCGTCTGGAAAGATCAGCACGTCGCACGCCGGGTAATACATGTACTGTACATGTATTGAGATCGCTATAGGCCTGCACCGGCCATAAGTGTGAACCGTCAATGTCAGCGAACGCCTTGAGAAAGGGCCCGTGATAACACTCACGCTGCACCATGTGTCATGTCACTCATATGCATAATTTATGCCCAGCACTGTCAGTGCGATGTATTACTAGTGTAGTGTGAAAAATGGACCCTATGAAATAAAGAGACTCATGGATTGTAGGCCTAGTGCGCGTGCCTTAGTGAAAATAATCTGGACAGTGTCAAAGTCACGTGCATGTGAGGGTAAACCCATATTAGGTAAAAGAGACCAGATTTTGTAGCAGTACAAATTTCATATGACACCAGCAATAGTATTGAAGGTAGTGCACAATGTACATGTACAGCACATGTACATGTACGTAGTGATCTCAAGGAACACTGCTGCAGTGCGGAACAAGTATGGTCACCATCGTCAGGTTAGCAACACGGTAAGTATATAGTAACCGTCGTTCCTTTCAAAGATTTTGTCAAGTGTATAGTGTTATGACTATTCATGTTTATAACTTGGACAACTCGGCGAACACTAACCGAACAAGTTGGTGTGATCATGGAGGTGTTTCGTACATCCTTGGTGTGATGAACGACATTCCTGATGAATGCCTTGCCAAGTATGCTATCCAAATTCAGATTTCACGAGCGTGTATACGGAAGATTGTTTTTGCAAACACGGGCGATTATTCTGGGTATTTTGGTAAGAATGAGCCCGATTGTCCGAAGGTTCGTTAGTCCGTTCCAGCGGATGGTAGGAGCAGTGTTGTCCTTTTATCCCTAAAGATTTCACTTGTGGGGTAATACCCTTTTTTCCCTGAAGACTTCACTTGTGGGCTACGTACCGTTGCCTTTGCTCGAGTACCCCACAAGTACGGACGAACGACCCTTCAGGCGTTCCAGCGGATGGCAGTTAGGGGTAGGACCATTGTTGCCCTTTCATCCCTATTTCTAGTAAAGATTTCACTTGTGGAGTAACTTTTTTTCTAAAGATTTCACTTGTGGGGGTACTGTTCTTTTTGTTCGAGTAATCCACAAGTATACCTTCGGACTATCGCATCAAATGTTCGGATTAATGAACCTTATTTCATTTTCGAACTAACGAACCCCGGTTATATGCATTCGGACTATCGAGCCTTCGGATCAATAAAACCTTCGGAGTCGGACTATCAAACCTTTAGACTATCGGTTGGACCCCAAAGTACCATATACGAGACTATACTAGTCTATATCCATCATGACACTTTGATGGAATACATGACTGATGTAAACGCAAGTAATAATTTGTGGTTAGTTTTTTACAGTATGTATTCCTGCATTGTCTCTGGTGGTATTCCAGACTGGGACTTTGAGTGCTGAAAAAAACATGATAAACAAATTCAGGCCAACTTTACTCACACAATTCTCCAATATTTTCATGAGGCAAAGACAACGTTTGAAGTCTCAAATCAATTTTTAAAGGAGACTTTTCTTCAATATATTGCACCTAAGAGTGAAGCCAAGTGATTCAATTTTACACTAATATCATCTAAGTATATTCCGAATCTAAGCTCAATCTGTATGTTGTTGCAAACACTTGTGGTACACTTTGTACTATCCCCAAGGTAAATTTCGACTCGGATTTCTCAGTGCCGAGCAAAACAACCACTGCCGAATTTGGCCGCAACAGTGACTGGCGGTCATTAGCGTGACTCGGCATGACATTGCGTGGGTCTCGGTGTCGACCAATGAAAGCCCGCCACAATACACCATAATATGATATGAACCTTTCAAGGAGGCTTGAAAAGATCGACAGATATTGCAAACATCGTTTGTTACAGCTTTGAAAAATGGACGTACCCCAGCCCATTTTTCAATTTTAATGAAAAATACTGAACATATCGAAAAGATTTTTTTGCACATAGTTGCTTCATTATAAGGGAAACAAACTCCGAAAAGGCATGAAGAAACGGTCTTCAAAACGGGAGAAATTGATGTTCAAAGATTTTGCCCGCCAACATCAAAATGTATGTGTATAGCTTGTTTCATTCAAAATAAAGTATTGCGTAACCCTTTAACAAATCGGCCTTCGCAACCGTAAGGCCGTATTGGTCGAAGGTGCCACGGCAGAAAATGGCTGCCGCCGAATTCGTCTATTAAGAGGTGGGAGGATAACCCCGTAAATGATATTCTCGGGAAATCGGCGGTATCAGACAGAGACTGAAAACGCTATAGCCACTAGCTGTGTGGTGGAAGGCGAGGAAAATATACACCCCTCCCCTCCCTACTTAATTAACCGTACTAAAAACAAAAACTAGAACAAGATTTTAAAAGCACTAACCTGTCGCCGTCCAAGCTCTGGAGTTATGGAGCTATTTCAGACATCCTTATACAAGTTGACTTTGTAAGCGATCCCTTTGAAAATATGCGGTAATAGAAATATATATTTTACCATTGACCATTGTTTCTATGTATACATACACTCGTAGGTCAATTCCCCATCGCCACACGAGCTGGAGACCTGATCTGGCCTTATGTACACACGCAGTGGCGCACCCAGGATTTGGCGGGGGATCACAATTTTTTTTTTTTCCAATTTCTTTTTAGAAGTTTTGATTTTTTCCAAAACTGTTGCTCAAAATTTTTGCGGCAGATTTTTTTTTTTTTGGGGGGGGGGGGGGACGGACTACTTTGAAGTTGGTGGCGCCATAGTACACCCCTATTATACTACTCGAAAATAGGCCACATACATATCACCAAGGTGAAATCGTGGGACTAAAAAATTAATTGTTCCCCCTCTCCCCCCAAAAAAAACCCAATGCCAACCTCGGGGGGGGGGGGGGGAGGCTCAAGCCCCCAAGGCCCCCTTCCCCCGTGTTCGCCACTGTACACATGAGATGGGGACAAATGCTCTTCCAGCTCGGGAATTTCATAGTTTGCTATTATTCGCCACGATGTTGGCTGAACGACGACTAGTGTTGTTTAGACGAAGTTTCTATTTCGCAATTTCCCCAAAGACAAAATGTTAGATTTGAAATAGATACTTTGATATTAATGGTTTGTTTGCAGTAAACTAGTATATTTTCTCAGTATTTTGTTCAATATTTCTTCAATATTTCTTCCATCACGGGAAATTTGTCCGGGCTATGCAGGCATGCAACTTTACCTCGGATCAGCTGATTTCCTCGTTTTTCACTTCACACTTATACCATTTAAAATTGAAAAACACTGTATAAAGACTAGTCTTGTCCAGCTTAGAATTTTCCACCGATGCCTGGCTATATGGCGATGATTATGGAAGAGCAATGTTGCTTAAAATTATCGTCGGTCAGAATTTTACCTTACATTTGAACGACTCTCGTTGTTCAGACGAAGTATTACTTCCGCGATTTCTCCACAGACAAAAAAGTGTAGATCATGGAACCTAATGCATATCCATATGCAGTGTTAATAATCAGAATATCTCATAATCGTGTCATGTCTGTGTGATATCGTTAGCTTGTACCTCTGTATGTAGGCTTTCGCCTATGCCATCGTGGCTTTGCCGGCGTGAAGGTGAAGCTGCCACGATGACCTTGGTGAAAGGCTTGTTTTTGTGTCAACAGACTTTTATTGATATAGCCTCAGACGTGTCAGGCATGCCCACGTGAACAATAACGCGCTTCAACCAAGGACGGATCGAGAACACACATTTTTTTTGGAGGGTGGAGGGCCTCAAAAAAATGTGGTCCCCCAAAAAGTGGGTCCAAAAAATTACGGTGTGGGGTTCGGGCCCGCTCAAGGGCCCAAAAAAATGGGATTCTGTGGTGCGATCTGAGACAATTTCTTACCACTTATAACCAATTTTTTTTTTTGAGGAAAAAGATGGCGGTGTACGCAGTGCCTGCCTTTATTGCGACGTCACTTAACAATTAAAATAAATTGCATTCGGGGTTTTTTTGGGGGGGGATTGCCCCTGTTGCCCCCCCCCCCCCGATCCGCCTTTGGCTTCAACTTTGTTTTGCAACTTTTTTGTGACTTAATTTGCAATCCATGAGCTTTTGTATAAACAGGGCATGAGCTCGCCAGCCATACAGCTACTATAGCACCACGCACTGGTTAAAAACCAATTTGTTAGTTATCCCACCACATGAGTACATCAAACTGTACAGTTGTTGCCGAAAACACTTATAAACAGGAATTCGACTTCTTTTTCATGTCTCTGAAATAGTCTTTGTCGAAACGTTTTAATCCCAATTTGTTGTCATTTGCTTCTCACTTGGCAAAGCACACTAACACTGCAAAACTGCGACTCCTAGTTTCTGCAGATGCACATCTTCCTCTGAACTGTATGAAGACATCCGGGACCCTCTTTTGGGAAAAGAAAATTAACAGATTACACGAACTCAAAATGTATAGCTCGTTGAACACATGCTGGATGTATGTTTGCTCATTAACTGAATGTTAAAGAGTTTCTACGTAAGATGACATCCTCGTTAACATGAAAATTCGTATCAGCATAACAACCAAAAAGGGGGCTGAATAACCCTTTAAACTGGGAACTTATAATGGGACGCAAGGACACATATTATTTCAGCATTGAATTTGTGTTATTTTATTTCGCTCATCATACATGGTATTTCATAATTTCTTTTGATGGTATTTCATATAGATGACTGCCGTGCGCATGCTCAAATTGTTCCTCGCCTGCTTAGCCGCTGTGTGTGGTGCAGCGATGTTATACTCACTATGGATCAGGGAAAACAGCCAAAAAGGTAACTCGAACTACCCCCCCCCCATTTATCCAAAGCTTGAGTATCTTTGGGATACCACACAAAGGAGACCAAGACAACTGGTCGAGGTATGTTGGTGGGTTTAACAACCTCGATTCCAACGCGAAGCAGATAGTAATTTGGTACTTCTTCTCCGATGTAAGCCATGCTCATGTACTGTTATGCATATTTTACTAAAATATAAATCAATTTTTACAGCTGTTCATGGAATGTCATTGGAAGCTATTGATCTGAGTGAGAACCAGAGATTACACAGAGGCAGGCATTCAGATACAAATGAGATTGATATAATTTTTGTCAAGACTGTAAATTATTTTACTGTCAGATGTTGTGTTTTTGAATAGGAGGATTTTTTTCTATGCACATTTTCGTTCATTCATGAAGGCAAGAAAACGCCCTTAATTGTTTCATTGTACTGAAACGGTAAAAGATCATTGGACAGCTGAATTTTGTGACGGTATTGCATTAAAATGGACATTACTTGTGAATATTATAGTAAGCAAATTACGTGAAAATTGGACAGTTACTGACAGTAATATGCACTTCATCCCTATGTTATTTCTTATTAAATGGAGCGAGCAACACATTTTTAATAACATTTTTTTTTGTCGTTGGGACACTTTATTTTCGACTCGACCTGTATAACTACAGTATAGGTGCCAATTTGGCTGAAAATTTGGGTAAAGCACTGAAGACGAGAATTAGCTCGGGGAGAGCTAGTCTATAATTATAGGGGTGAGCTTTTTTTGTTTATTCCCGTGACGCGTTGGGATATTGATTCCCTCAGCATTTTGAGTAAATATGGAGAAGCATCCATACCATTCTATGACATCATAGGGCAGTTCCGTACATTCGGACATACATGTCAGACACTTTAACAGGCACAGTAGCAGTGTTGTAGTCGAGATCGGATAGTCCGAGACCGAGACCAAGACAAAGACCTGAAGTTTCGAGACCGAGACCGAAACCAGCCCCTTCAAGGTGGACCGAGACCGAGACCGATATGGTCCGAGACCGAGACCAAGACCGAGACCACAGCTCCCGAGACCGAGACCAAAACCGAGACCAGCAAAAAGTGGTCTCGAGACCTACAACACTGCACAGTAGGCAAAGTGCCTTGGGCCTACGAGCAATCCGGGGGCCTACGAAAATGTTGAGGGCCTACGAAAATATCACAGTGTGGCCTGGCTAGCTTTAAGTCACTTAGTACACCTTAGCATCAACATGAATTTGGTGCTGGTGTAAGGGGCCCAGTGGGGCCTAGGGCCTACGGAACACTGGTGCCTAGGGCCTACGGAACACTTAATCCGGCCCTGACTTCAATGCGCTGCTGTTGGAAAAGTGAATGTGATACATCACTAATAATGTGACATCTAATGAATAGAAAACAATTACAGACCAAACTATTAGGTACCGCCTTAACGGCCTTGTACAAGTACATCATGTGGTCGGACGTACGTTAAATTTTATACGGAATTGCCCCATACAATAATTTTGGAATAATGCTAGAATAATGTTCATCTTTGTTGATGGTGTAGAATGGTGGACTTGAAAGTTTTCTCCATCAGGTTTTTATTTGATTTCTCAATTTAACTGTGAATTCTAATGCAGGTGGTGTCATCTTACGACTGGACCGATTAACGAGCAAACCACTTTACAAATCTACTGCAAGTTACTCATCAGAAGTCCAGCCAATTCAGCGATTGGGTGAGACAAACGTTAGTGGCATTACTGTGAAAGTTTCCATGGACGATATGACGAGAGATGTAAATGCCGAGAAACAACTCCGGGTCAGTTCTTCGATTCGTCACACCAGTGATTTTCCAGAGGCGGGGAGGCCACTGATCGACCTGGACCGGCAGGACGTGGACTCGGACGAGCTGTTCCAAAGGCTGGTTGTAGTGACGGCCTTCTCGGAGAATCACCGCCTGGAGGTGATGGGGATGATCGGCACGGTACAGAGCCGCATGCCCGCTACCAGGATCATCGCCTACGATCTGGGCATCGAGTCGAAGAATTTACCCCAAGTATGTTCGACGATACATTTATTTTTATTTGGTGCTCTGTGTTCTTGATCTTTGTTAAAGGGGATGTACATCATTGGCTTTTGCTGTAATTTTCAGAAATGAACTATTTGAGGGGTTAGTATAATAGATCAAATATTGTTACACTGACATTTTTGAAGTTTTGTGTTCGAAAAGGTTGGAAACACAAAAAAAACCCAAAAATGTTCAAGTAGTCTGGTTCCCTGACTCCACAAAAGATAAAATGGATCAATTTATAGATGATGGAAAATTGTAAGGCAAGGGAACCAGTCTAGCTGGCCTGCACCCGTTCATGAACATGTAACCGATAGCAAACAAAATTTGGACTGAAAAAATGGTAAATTTGGAGCAGTGGTTGAAAAATAAATAGGTTTTTTCCAACGCTGGTCGTCCGACCACTGTTGGAAATGTATACAAAAATACCATTTTCTTGAAAATGACTTCACACCAGGTGCCATAATTTTACAAGATGCTTGAGACTGTCATTAACCAACATCCTAGCAAGGTATTTCGTAAAAACTTGGTAGTTTTATTTTTTGATGTTTGCAAATGTTGTATATTCCCTTTAAGCCTAGTTTCCATATCGATGTAAGAAACGCAAAGTGAAACGCAAACAGATCCCAAACTGCAACCCAAACATTTCATCCGGAAGTGTCGCTGAAAGCCCAGACAGACGCAAACTACCTAGCAGACGATCGCCAAAGTTGAACTCAGTTCAACTTTGCCGACAGTTCCGCGTACTGTCTTCGCAGTCTGCGTAATCTGAACGTCAATATGGAAACCAGGCTTTACAAAGATTCGTACTTACAATGTCAAGCGTACAAGACAACAGTTGTTAAGACTGACTTTGTCTGGCTGAAAAAAAGGGGGTGTTTACGTCTGTATTTACCCACCAAACATTCTTGTATGATTTAATCCTAGTGATTTCCAATGTAAAGAAAGGATGATGTTCGAAGGGTAGATCCTGCACTACTCGTACCGTGGAGCAATATGGGGAAAAGTAGACTTTATTGTGTGTAGACGTTGCCATTTTATCCATTTTGCACTAGGTGACCAGAAATGGCTTCTCTCCACCCCCTTCTCCCCCTTCTCCACTTCCTCTTCCTCTTCCACTTCCTCTTCCTCTCCCACTTCCTCTTCCTCTTCCTCTTCCTCTTCAACTTCCACTTCCACTTCCACTTCCTCTTCCTTTTCCTTTTCCTCTTCCTCTTCCTCTTCCTCTACCTTTTCCTTTTCCTCTTCCTCTTCCTCTTCCTCTACCTTTTCCTTTTCCTCTTCCTCTTCCTTTTCCTCTTCCTCTTCCTCTTCCACTTCCACTTCCACTTCATCTTTCTTTTCCTCTTCCTCTTCCTCTTCCTCGTCCTCTCCCTCTCCCTCTTCCTCTTCCTCTTCCTTTTCCTCTTCCTCTTCCTCTTCCTCCTTTGGTTTTGGCGGTGAGGTCGGAGAAGTAAAGACCGTCGATTTAAGATGGTCCCTTTTTAAGTTAAGGGAATTAACTACATGGTACAGCTTGATTATTACCTAACTAGAAATAAATTTGACTGTACCATTGTGGAACCACTGTTTGACAAATCGACTTTTATCTTTGCAGGTGAGGAAGTTGTGTAACATCGAGATTCGGCCCTTCAAGTTCGACAGGTACCCGCCTCACGTGTCGGTGCTCGTGAAATACGCCTGGAAAGGTATCATTATAAAGGTGTGTTTCAGGACTAGCTGTTATCCTCTACAAGTTTCACGAAATGTGTGCTGGTTTGTGTGTGTTTGGAGTGGAACATCATTCTTTGGCTGTGTAGCCATAGACAAACATGGGCACGCTTGACGGAGGCCCCCTTCAATGGCGAAAGCATTGTACTAGCTATTGTTCAGATGATTCGTCATAGGGCAGTATAGCTTTGCACAATAGCTTGCACCGTCCTTTCGCCATCTATACACAGTGTATATCCTTTTATGCAATGTGTATGCAATTTTCACAGTGGTCGATTCGATTGAAACGTCAATCACTGGCGTTGTACTCTTACGGTTTATGGAGGTCGTGTCTCGTAAACTGCTTGGTTAGAAATAAGACCATTTCGCACAGCAAGCTGGCTAGTAGCATTGCCAAAACTAGACGTTTGTCAAAGATGCAGTTATACATGTAGCAGGCTTATGAAACCAAGGACTTCTCAAAATTGCCAATGGCACCGTAGCTCGCAAGTCCGAGGATACTTGTTGAAAGAAGACAATGAAGAATATTCAATTCGGGCGATTCACAATGTAGTGTGCCACCAAGACTTTGCCACGGAGAGTTCTTTTTCCCAGTGCATTGTGGGAGATGTTCGCAGCGCAGGACATTCGAAACTGTTCGTTTTTCCGCTCGGTAGTTTCGTAAGCGTGTGATAAGAGTATATCTGTTTGCCCCTTTCTTTGCTTTTTTTTTTTAATCAAAATGGTATTTTTTGTAAGGCGGCAACTAGAACGCTATGCCCCAATCTATATTAATAAGCACAAGTTGTCTGACACTCATTCAAATGGGCCATGTTTTGTCTACGGAAAACTCGGGAAAAAAAGGACTCTCCATGGCAAGCTCTTGGTGATGCAGTGCATTGTGTATCGGCCGAATTATTGAAGTAGGAAAAACGTGGACAAGTTTTGGTATAACATTAGTTTGTGTCTGATATTGCTATATTGGTGCAAAACGTGGTCGAGTTGGGCCTTCTTTTTTTTCCATTTTGATACCAACGATGAACAAGAGCCTTTTTAGCTCTCCACAAGAGAGATTCAGTTTGCAAATTTTCTGAAAGAGACGTTTTGTTTTCACAGGAAGCCCTGGATGAATTTGGCGTCATTTTCTGGGCGGACGCGTCTGTCAGGTTCCTGGACTCCTTGCGAACATTGCTGCCGTTGGCCAAGGGACATCACGGCTATTTTTCAAGAATTCACAGCTACTCCCCCTTGAGCAACACATCTCTTTCCCTGCCTGTCGTCCACAATTTCTACCTTACCGATCCACGGGTGTTCGCCCATTTTGGTATCGAAAGAAAAGAGTACGCGCGTTCCCCCAACACGCCCCACGTTGCCGCCAATCGGCAGCTCATCATCAACAGCACCACCGTCCAAGAAAAGGTGGTCCGACCCCTCTACGCATGCGCGATGAACGAGACTTGCATCAGTCCCCCCGGCACTTCTCGCAGGAATCACATGTTCGACGCCTCGGCGCTGATGCTGATCTTTTACAAGTACTGGCCCGAGGAGTTTAATCGGGGGAACGACCACGTTTCCGATATGGATAAAGTCACGGCGATGCACCGACAATCTGACGATTGGAGCAGAGCCCAATTCTGTGAGCTCAAAGATGGCGTCCGACCACACCGTTGAGAAAATACAAACACTTCCTCAGTCGCGACTCCATGGGTGCGTGCGCGTACCTTCACTAAGATCGCGCAAGGCATGATGGGAAGCAACATGGCGCAGCAATATCGTACCCATGGAAACGAGGATGCTACTTCTTTCATTGGATTCAGAGCTAGCCATCCTCGGTACGGCAACAGAGCTGCAGTCAAGTCCATCACAGGCCTTTCACAAGTCAAATCTGAAGTTATCACAAGTCAAACTCCTAAGTAAGATCACAAGTGACACTGTGGAGGAACATGGAAAGAGGAATGCCTTTATCACAGTTTATATGGATAGCTTGTCACGTGACTTGAGATTGGATGACTTGTGCTTTAACCAAAGTTCACGTCTTTCATTGCTGCTATCTATCCTACCTCTAAACATCCCGTGGACAATTTCATAGTTCGTGCATGGAGTTATATAGTCTTCCTGGGCAAGACACTTCGCAGTGTTTTACGTCTTGTTCGTCTAATCCGAGCCCATCCAAAACAAAAAATTCAAGTTCACATTTACTTAATGAGTAGAATGAACAAAAGGGCGATGAGAATGCAAAATCAAACCATCCAATTTTCTCGCCTTAAAGTTAACTCGGTGAGTGATTTTGGAATAATGGACTTCATGATGCATGATAGCATAACTTGACATCACATAAACAGCGCCCTAGGGATGCAGGCCAGTAAATAGGCCCAAAATTGCCTACGCCGACCAAATCACAAATTTGTATGTCCGCAGTTAGAGCATTTTGTGGGCCATGAACTTGAGGGTTTGTACAAAGATAATAAGGTGGAAGCCTTGATCAGGACTGCGACATTGTAGTTCTGTGAAATTAGGATGAAATTAGGCCCTAATTTGCTCTATTTTGCAAAGGAGCGTTAGGCATCATTTTTTTTCAAAATGGCGACGGTCTTCATGACTACTTTCAGGGGTGATCATCTTTGGATGGAATTTTCTTCCAAAAGTCATCAGATTACTCCCCCAAAAATTGAACAGAAACTGAAAGATGATGAAATAAGCTTTAATTTGATGGGCATCTCAAACACTTTGGGGAGTTGTGAGTATTTTTCCTGATCTTGAAAAGTGGGGGTATATCACTGAGGTCTACGGCTTTATTCGCCCTTTTCACACTTCCGCCATGGGCATGCAGATCCTCGATCTGGTAACTTTACACAATAAATATAGCCGGTTCAGTGATTCCCGTGTCGGGGTTCAGATAACTGAACCGGCTATTTTTATTGTGTAAAGTTGCCAGATCGAGGCACTGCATGCCCAATGGCGGAGTGTGAAAAGAGCGAATTGGCTGGTCTGCAACCATGAAAACATTGTGGGCGTTGTTAAGAGTGGAGTGTATGGACCCGTTACACTGTGCACCCTAACTGACGGCTTGGTTTTGTTACCTGAATCCGTGATAATTAGTACAATCTGTCTACTCATGCGTACCACAGATCGAGGAACAAATAAACTGCGGTTACAACTGATAATGTAGTAATCAACGGATAAAGTATCACCAACCGTTAACGTCACAGAAATTGACCGATATTGTATCACCAACCGATCATGTAACAGAAAATGACTGATAGTGTAGTAACATTACTACACTTTGAAACATCATCGGTTGAGACCAAAAATGTAACAATAATTGACTGATAGTGTAGTACATTTTACGACACTAATAGTCAAATTTTTGTTACATTATTGGTGGGTGAAACGTTATCCGTTTGATACTGTGGAGTGCTGTGGCCTCGTGGTTAAGGGCACTGGATTCGTGGTCTGTGGGTAAAGCTGCGGGTTGTGGGTTCGAGTCCAGCTGGGGTCATGGTGCAAGTGCCCTTGAGCAAGGCACTTTGTCACTCATTGCTTCTCTCCACCCACGAGTAAATGGGTAACTTTGAGGGCAGAGATGGTTATTGTGATTGAATAAGCTTGCTTGCGCCTAACAGGCAGCATCGAGCTGTATACTCCCCAGGGAGCTGAGATGGTATTTGGAATGTTTCATTGGCCCAATGATCAGGGGTAATAGTAATACTTTAAGCGCTGTGATTTAGTTTACTAATAATAGCGTTCTTAAATGCCGATTATTATTATAATTATTATTATTATACTACACTATCAGTTGTAACAAACCATCCTTTCCTCCAGAGTTCATTCTGGATGAAACCTGGATCAAATGGTTCGGTGAGACAGCTGGGTTGTGGTGCTTCGCAACTTGAATGTTAAATATATATATTTTTTTGTAAATTTAATAAATTATTTTTGAAAAACACGTAAAATCTGTGACTTTTGTTCTTTAGGCCTACTGGCTCTTCATAATTGAAAATTTCACATACGAAAACTTAGAAGTGAGGCAAAGTCGATAGTCGTGTTTTGTTTGTCGACGTATCCCAAATTTACCAGCACGGCGCTGTGTGCCATATTTTGTTATGCTGGGTGCGACGTGTCTGGTACAAATTGGAGCCGACATACAAGCAGATTGGAGTCGAGGATGCACAGACCGTCCCCGCATGTTAGTGCCATACCAAACTAATAACCGTGGTGCGGTACGGCGTTCGGTTGGCGGGTGTGCAGTATCTATCTGTCTAATTTCCGATTGGATTTCAAGTCTAACGAGAACTTACGCCTAATTGCTATTTTCAGATATGAGTTTGAGATGCGACTTTTACTAATGTCATTTTGCATGATGATTTTTTGGTGGACCCGAAACGCTAGTGCCTCCTATGACTGACTGATGACTGACTGCTTGCCGTTCTGACCATACCCACTTGTGGGGTCAGGAACATCACCCCACTTTTTTATCCATAGAAAAAACATCACCCCGGAAGAGAAATCTTTAGAAATAGTGACAAAGGGAACACAATGCCATCACCCCACAATTCCGTCTGGCTGGACCGTCCGACTTAGTCCTTTATATAGGCTTAGAAATCATGGCGTCTTTAACTTTGAATTTCCGTTCTGGCTCGACTAGGCACACTTTCGTCCTTGGGTCACAAGAACATGCAAAATACTGAAATCATTTTTACTCGTTTGCATTCACAATCCGAATCACCAGGCTTCAATTCCCACGATATTATGTATTAAAGGGCCTGTGTAATATAACCCTTAACGTGATATGTATTATAGGGCCCAGGAACACATTTTGTGCAACTTTTTACTCCTCTAAAATGTATGAAAACTACATGTATTTGACATCTTTTTTGGTTAATTTTATTGAAGAGTTTTCTGTACACATTGAAAAAATGCCCATGCTTTTTTGGACAACTGAAGGACCCAAGAATTTGCTCATTGAAAACATTTATGTGAAAAGTTTGCTCATTAATTTACTAAGAATCACCAAAGAAAAGCATTTACGACGGCGAAATGTCTAACATTCTGAAAACTTTTGGTGCTGAAATAGCGGTAACATTGAGGTCTGTGCCTGAAATGACATCACACTTTTGCTCATGAATATGGAAATTTGCATAAAAAAGAAAACGCACCAAAATACAAGTAGAAAATGGCAAAACGAAAATTGAAAATAGAGTTAAACGAGACATAAAGATTCATTTTCAAGGATTGCATAAACATTACATTGTATGGCCCTTTAAAGCGTTTCCCCTCACATATCTGACCTTGTGCAATCTTACCTCCACATGCTCACCCACGTTTGTTTATGGTGTTTCCTTTGTTGTTTACACTTTAACTTTCTCGCAACAGCTCTCATTGGTTTTGTACACGTTAAGGTCGTCCTCGATTTGGTTCCTGTCCTCGATTCACCGATGATGCTGCACGTATGTGTCCTCGATTTTCACCATAAACAAAAGCAAAAGGTGATAATCTCCGCTGTTCTGACAATAGTCGCTTCTTACGGAACGGATGAAAAAAACACCATGGCGAGATAATAATAATACCGGAGTCTTATATAGCGCACGTATCTACCAACTTAGGTAGGCCTACTCAAGGCGCTGGAAATTATGTATATTATTAAAGAAAAGTAAATAAAGTTTATAAGAAATATGAGACCCTTTATGGGGTTTACAAGGTGCTGCGGCGCATATTGCAGCCACTGCCAGAAACACCGGGACAAACCCCTTCTCTTAGCGATTAGTGTTATGGGTTCTTTAACGTGCATTACACAACACACGGGACCTTTACGTCCCATCCGAAGGACGAAGCAATAATGGTAAAGTGCCTTGCTCAAGAGCACAAGCACCACGTTCCCACGGTCAGGATTCGAACCCATGTACCACGGCACACGAGTCGAACACCGTAACCGTTGGACCACAGCACCCCAATTCAACAGCAGATCATTCCATCCAAGCTACATCTTCGAAAGTCTACAAGCTTTGCCTCCTACGTTGCGATGGACTTGATCTCTAAGCAAATGTAAATTGGAGCTAAAAACTCAATTGTTTCAAATGCATTTCGTGGATGATTGTAGACTGCAGCGACATGATGACATTGTTCTGTGCATACGTTCTGTTGTAGTTATATTTTGCGCAAGCGCCGTGAGCGCGCACATACTGGAATTTGTATCCTTGTGGAGACACCTCTTTGTTTTCGTGTACTAACATTTGAGAATGTGAAAATTATAGTTTCAAAATGCGCCTATTCAACCAGATTTAATTTCCCGGGCTGAAACTCAGACCAAACATCCCTTACATACAATACTTCAATTTGCAACTTCAATTTAACCCGATTTAATTTCCTGGGCTGAAATTCAGATCAAACATCCCTTACATAAAGTACTTCAATACTTCAACACACCTTGGAAATTCTTAGTTTTTGAGTAAAATCCATATATCTATTTTGTAAAACCGACGTATTCACCTATAGAAATTGCCTTGAGGAAACCTTTACAATCTTTTGTTCCCTATTGTACACACGTCTCCATGTTATGATCCTTTTAGATTCCTCACAAAAAGCGCGAGGGGAATCAGACTGGATCCAAGGCTAAGGCTTGACCTTAGATGCCCCTCTTGCTCCATAGGCACCGCATGATATGGAGCGTACAGCTGCAATGACGTCACACGTATTATAGACGTGTGTTTTCCTATACGAGAAGGCATTCGTACGTTCTCTCTCGAACAAGACCTCAGGTCTCGATCAGGTGAAACGTCTATGCCGCGATTTTTAAGCTAAACTGAAAATAGCTTCTCGAGGGGGGTTGCAAAACTGACGAATATGGGGCTAAGATCTCAGTTAACTCAGAAAGTTGTTCGATGTTAATTAAGTAACAAATGCACAAACTTTGGTTCACCCATCATACTTACCTAATAGCGGCAAAAGACCTTTCAGTTTGCCCTCCAACATATACGTTTATTATGAAACATATACTACACTGCCCGTTCCAACATATAACACTACATGTACATGCATTATGTACATCTCCATGGTCAAAATAAATACATTTTTATCGCTGCTCAGCGACTTCACGTACGTGAATCACGAGAACAATTATTGATTGCCAAGCTAGACTGAGACAGGATCGACCCAAAACATGTGCAACAAAAATGTCAATGGTAAACAAGCCTGCCTGTGGCATTAATGCTCGATTGTTTTCAATGTATACACATATATATAATCGATCTAAAAATATACCGTGGTATTTGACAATACAGAGAACTAATTAAATTTATGTAAAATATAATTGAATACTACATCGAAAAATCTGGCAAGTCAATTTCTTAAAAAAAAATGCATTATTTACATTAAAATGAAATGAAATTTAACAGACACTGTTCAGTAAGGGGTTTGTGTTCAACTTTTTGTGAACCCAAAAATTTGCTCATTAAAAACATTTGTGAGAAAACTTGGCTCATTCTGCATGTATACTGACACAACAACGAATCACCATGTAAAGAAAAGCAAAACATAACTGTAACTGTATCATTGAGATTTCTGCCTGAAATGATATCACACATTTGCTCATCAACGTGGAAATTTGCATTAGCATAAAACCAAAAAGGCACTAAAATATTGAAAATGACAAAACGAAAATTAAAATTAAGGTTAAATTGGAAACAAAGGTGCATTTTCAAGGATTGGAGCATTATAAGTATGCATCTCTTACCATGCAAGTGTGCACAACACATGTAGTGGTATATGTCCTTGACCCCAAAGAGCCTTTAAAATGAAATTGAAAAGCTACTGGTTTTGTGTTCAAACTGTGAACCCCAAAATGTCGGCATTGTACTTTGGAATCTTGTATAATGTCCTAGGTCTTATCTCATGTGGCTCGAATATGGAGAATAAAAATCAAAGTCCCTAGCCCCCCCCCCCCCCCCCCCCCCCCCCACACACACACACCCAAACACACAATTTGATTGATCAGGATTAATTCAGACCGCTTCTCTACACACAATCCTGACATATGTTTTGACTCGGTCACGTGACAGGACTCAAGGCGCACTGCGTGACCTTATATTCGTGTACCGCTCAGTGCATGCTCTATGGTCAAAAACAATGTGCCGCTTAAGCAACACAACAGATTCAAGAGCACAGTACGCCAGGATATGTTCAGACATAACAGCATTGGAGCCATGATCCTAGCTATGATCCCTAGCGAGTGTAATAACGGAGCTACGTAGAGCCATAAATGGGAAGCGAACATTATCCCACCGCAAACACGAGTCGCGCCGTAAAACAGTTCACCGCGGGCAAACTCAACTGCACAATGTGAATATTTAATGTCCACCGCATATCGAAGTTGTGTGCACGAGCTACACGGTTCGGGACAGGCAATATGGTAAGTCGCTGCAGAACAGAAACCCTTGGAAGCTCGCATAAATCTTGTGAAATTATTTTCGGTGATATTAAGTAATTCTCAACACACGGGGTCACATCAAGGTTGGCGCAGTACTAGTCTGCGTGCAAGCTGGGGTTTCAGTCGACAATGTTATCATATTCTCTATGTTTGACAGGCTTTGTTACACGAGATTAGTGTTGTTGACGTGTGATGTGTCGTTCATTCTCCGTCTACAAGTCGTTGATTTGCACGCCTAAAATGTATGAATGTATGGCATTTAGTTCTTCTATTCTAATTTACATTACGAGACCGTCTTTTTTAGATTGAAATAGGGAGAGAAAAAAAGAGATGAAGCTGTATGAACCGAATTTCTGAATCGTAATCAATTACGGGTACATTGTAATTGGTAGAAACAATGAGTTTATCCCTTAATTCTAGCATGGAGGAAAACAATTGCCGTGGCTTAATTCTAGCATGGATGAAAAAAAATTGCCGTGGCTTTGTATGTGTAATTGTAAGCCCATATATAGCACAAAGGGTTAATTTGATGCAGGTATCAGTATCGCCTCCACTAAGTGTGCGCCAGTCTTCGTATCAAAGGTTACGGCCGAAATATCGGAGCTTCCCCTGCAGGCAATGTCATGATAATCATATTGACCTAGTTTACATATCAGCAAGAATTGTTTAATCTGTAGAGGCTTAAGATAGTAGCCTGCACAGATTGTATTAGATGAATGTATGCTTTATATGCTGGCCGCATTGACAGATTACAAAATTCAGCATTCAAATGAAAGTATAAACCTTGAGAATGTCCAGTCACGAATTTATTGCCTGTGAGTGAGTGAGATGGTACAATATTCCGATGTTTCTTCCGTGATCTGACAAAATTGAGGTCAACGACGTGAATGGACAATGGCATTATTTTGGTTGCGATGTGGGTACTCCATGGTGGAGGAAATATGGAGGTCAACAACGTGGTTCTCAAATTGAATGGACAATGACATTTGGCTCAAATCAAAGTGCTCTGGGTACAAATAAATTTCACGCCAAAGCTTCTAATCGTTCAGTGTTAAAACTCCTCAATACCGTACGATCACATCATATCAATAGCATTAATAGTTTTGTTTGTTTGCAATAATCCCGTAGCTGTGTAACATATAAATTCCATTTGACTTTGGGAGGAAATGAAGACACCAATGATGTTGACTGTGTGCAACGTGTGTAAAGATGTGCACCCATCCGAAGGGTTAAGTATCTTAATTGTCATGATATGCAAGCAAAGGGCCAGCCAAAGTAGAACAAATTGTACGAATCTACACTACATGTTATGTACGAGATTGTAGTAAACTAGGGTCTTTTTTAAATAAGCTATTGTTTCAAAAAATACTTCAAGTCGGAAAATAGATTCGATCAGAACTGTTCGCCCCGTCTGTTCTTAGCACGAATCGACAGTTCCTCGTCCATTCTCCCTAACGCAAACACCAGGCAGCTGTGGCTAATGGTATTTGTACACCATACAGTACACTGTCTGTTTCCTTTCTTTATAGTCAGGAAATATAAACCACGGGTCGTCGGTTGTCATGTTGCTTATGATCGAGTTACCATATTTGCAACCACGGCCAAGGACAGAATTGAACCCTTGTGTGTAGGCCTATTGTAATAAGCAGCAAACACGCCGTGAGTGTTCGGAACTTCATACTTCATACCACCATAAAAACCTTCTGCGCGTGATGGCGAGGGGCATTACGATGGCACTGTGGCGTGTAAGATTGAATTAAATGAAGACATTTGTATTAACCTACTCTTTTTCTGCTTGCTGCTTGATCCCTATACCAGCCCTGAATACTCCGATGTTAATATGATTTTTGAACACCCTACGGCTAGGGTTACTAGTTCTTTACTCGATAACGGTTTGTATTCGTGTTGTCACTGGAGAGTACAAAATAGTGTTTCTTGAATTGAAAATTGAATTAAAAAAAGCCACCAGGCCTGCGATTACTTTTTCTCCTACCAAAATTGTGCTTCTAATGAAAATCGTGTTTAGGGAGGGGAAAGCAGGATTGGGGTGAATTGAAGTTTAACGAGGAAAGGGAAAGTGGGTAGAGGGGGTTGGCCAAAAGTGACTCGATTCCCAAACAGATCTGAATGGTTTCGGGGGAAATGTTTTCATACTGAACGTCAACCCTTATGGACCTCATTAACGAGACAGCCATTTTGGTCGGGTTTCCTGAAGGCTGAATGTATTGTAGTAATTGTAGTAATTGTGAACTGTTGAATTGGATGGTGCCAGACTTTGATACATTCTAGATTACTTTCCTTTTTTTGTGGCTTAAAACTTTAGGGTATGTTTAATCACAAATTAAAAATTCTTCATTGGGGCCATGGGCGTCGCGGGGGGGGGGGGCAAGGGGAGCTTGCCCCCCGGACAAGCCAAAAAAAAATGCGAGAAAAAAAAATGGGGGAAAAAAACAAGAAAAAGAGGCCCGAAATCATATTGTTGTTAATTTAAGGGGGGGGATGTCTGAAATGTCCCTGCCCACCCTCAACAAAAAAAGATCAACCGGGAAAATGATGGAAAATGTAGGGATTTGTGGGGACAAATGTGAAGTTGCCCCCCTCTAGAAAAAAATTCTGGCGACGCCCATGATTAGAGTAGATTGGTATAATGTGTAATGAACTTTTATGTCATTGCTTTAATTTCTCTTCGCAAGTTCCAAAAATGAATAGTACATGTATACATCATTTTCAATTCAATATGGCCGACTCGTGAATGTGGCCCATATATCGTTCTTTGCACGGAATCTCCATATAGAAAAGTAACGTGGCTTTTAGCTAATATTTACAAAACAAACAATGCTCACGTCATCGTTGCTAGGTATAGGTTTGTTATTACATAATAGTCCAATTAAGTGTTTTCTAGATTTCATATAGAAAACGTCAGTGTCATTATATGAAATAGAAATTTCAGGAAACATCTGCTAACACCTTTTTTTGATCGGCTTCGAAAGGCATGTACTTCATGTTGTTTTGTGTTTTGGCTCATGTTTATCAGTCTGCTAATGTTTATCACACTGTTAAAAGATTACAAAAAGGATGCAAAATGGTTGCTTGTTTTCTTCCAACATTTTGAAAGGGGTCACTGCATACAAAATGTCAGGTTTTTGTTTACAATTAATGTTGTACTTGTGTACGGTGTCCTTCAGGTGCCAAAGTGGATATCCAGACCGTTGCTTGTCTGCGTACTCCTAACCATGTGTTTCTTGGCACTGTACTCCGTCATGTCCACGAATGGGGAAAAGAGAGGTGAGGACTCCTCGAAGGCATGGTACACTCGTAAATGTCCCCGGTCAGATTTGACCGGAATGCGGGTTCTGTTCGACTAGAAAGAGTCAAAATGACACTTTTCCGGGTCAAGATGACACTAGCCGGATCAAAATGAAACTTTACTGGGTCAAACTTACACTTTCTTGGGTCAAAATGACACTTCTCTGCATAATTTCCGGGTAATTTTGAGGAACATAGGCAAAGGCGTCATTTTGACCCGCAAATTGTCATGTTGGCCTTGCAAAGTAACAGGTTAAGTAGAATTTTGACTCCGGGTCAAATCCGACCAGGGATTCATTGAAGTGTACCTATAATACGCGAGGCTCATGATTAAAATGCATTGACAGAAATGAATTGTTGATGCCTCCTGGATCTTTCAAACTCTACAGCAGGATCAATTTGACAGATTTCGTAGGAAGAGAAAAATATTTTTGAGAACGAGTCATCCACATCCATTTGATTTTCCAAACAAAAAAATGAAGGCCTGTGGTTTGATGTACCTTGGAGGTAAAATTGTATATAACATTTGCAAACAACAAAAACACAAAGCTACAAAATTATTATTAAATACCTGACTTGACTGTAAGAGAATAATATCTCAAGCATCCTTTGAACTCATGGCAATGATGTGCTGCAATATTGAAGGAAAAAAGAGAAATTAATTTCCAATGGTCGGTTGACCATCGTTCGTTGAAAAAAAACCCCACCTTTTTCAAACACTGCCGACTCTGTTCCAAATCGGTGACACATGCGTGAACGGGTGCAAGCCAGTTAGTCTGGTTCCCTGACTATTCCCCGACGTCTACAACTTGCTTCGTTTCGTCTGAATTCGGGTCAGGGTACCAAATTACAAGAACAGCGAATCCATATTGCTGTTAATTTGTGTTATTGCTGTTAATTTGAGCTCACGCTCGGAAAAATGATAAATTGAGAATATATTGAAAAAGTTAAGGAATTTGGGGGGAAAATTTGCTTTGCCCCCTGGCGACACCCATGTTCATAAACAATTAATATGTCATTGGTTTCTCTTTGTAATGGTGAATTTAATAGCGTCAGTAGATTCAGTGTAAAATGGTTTGGTCAGGTCAGAATTTTCAGGCTACCAAAAGCTCGGTGCCTTTATAGAGATGAGTCCGTGTGACAGAGACGTTTTAATTTCTCACTTCTTTGTCACTTAATTTAACCTAACCTGACAGGTAATTTCCAACTCTTCCTCTGCAGCTGTTGTGTTTTATAAAACCGGATCGCGGGAAAGAACGGAGGCGATGCGGGACCACCATTTCGAGACCAAAGAATTTACACCAAAAATAACCCAGTACAAAGTGGAATTGCAGACGCGTAATAAAGAAGCGAGTGTAGATGCTGTACATGTCGAGGAGACTGCGAAGGGGGGTATAGAAGGCAAGCAGGTGGATTTGGAGATGTTGGATTCTGAAAGCGAGGATGATTTTTGGCAAGTAGGCGATAGGCAGTTGAATTTCGAGACGGCACGTGTAGATGATGACAAAATTGCTCACCAGCAGGTGCATTTTGCGAAGGTAGATTTGGCGAAGGTGGTTGATGACAAGGCGCATGACGTAATTAGGCCTTTGAAGGTTTTCGCGGAGGGTATCTCGCCTCCCGTCGTGCATAATACGAGGCTGCCTCCTGCCTTGCAAAATATGAGGCCGATGATCGACCTGGACCGGCAGGACGTGGACTCGGACGAGCTGTTCCGAAGGCTGGTGGTGGTGACGGCTTTCTCGGAGAATCACCGCCTGGAGGTGATGGGGATGATCGGCACGGTGCAGAGCCGCATGCCCGCTACCAGGATCATCGCCTACGATCTGGGCATCGAGCCCAGCAATTTACACAATGTGAGTATAAAATGTAAAGGATTTTTCCTTCTCTGAACGCAAACTTCTTTTGGAATAGAAGCCTTCGAATTATCTATGCAAATCTACGAATCATTCTCCTGAAACACGTTATACGTAGACGAGGGTGCAAACAATCGTTGTTCACAAACATGCAGTGTAAAATAAAATTACTCACTAGTCTGAGTTCAAGTTGTCGTTTTTGTCATCTTGATATACGATCAACGGCTTGAACCCAGACTAAGGTCATGCATATCTTTGTCACAATATTTAGGTAACGCAGCTGTGCAACGTGGAGTTGCGGCCTTTTAAGTTCGACAGATACCCACCACACGTTGCGAACATTATGACGTACGCCTGGAAAATCATCATTATAAAGGTTCGTTTTGATGACTTGTTTCCAAGACATTAATCGTAATTATCTTAAAAGCCTCTACACCCATGCGATGTTCATAACAGTTCTACTTAGTTTCATCATGGAGAAAGGAAAACAGAGCAGCTAAGGCAGACGAAAAGTGTGTTTTCTGTAGAAAAAAATTATGCTCTTTGTTCAAACACACCTTTTGTATCAATCAAGTGAAATTTCATCAACCCTCATTCACTAGTACAGGGTGAGTAAAAAAACCGAAACCCAAATGTCGGGGCTATTGTTTATTGAAGTTCTGCATGTAGCACTTTCAAAATCTAGTATATGAAAGCCCAATTCATAAGCTTTAGTACAAGAATCATTAAAATCACTCAAGTATCAAGTTACGGAATTTTAAACACAACCACCTTTTTAAAGTTCTCTCCACGGATCTCAAAAAAGGTAAGTGTTCTTTCAGCAAAACGAAAACAAATCACATAGGGATGTGCGTGAATTGTTTTCGTTTTGCGGAAAGAACGCACACCTTTTTGTGATTCTGTAACAAAAATTCTGTAACTTGAAAAGTACTTGAGTGATTTTAATGATTCTTGTTCTGAAAAAAGCTTATGAATCGGGCTTTCATATACTAGATTTTGAAAGTGCTATATGCAGATCTTCACTAAGACAATAGTCCTGACATTTGGGTTTCTTTTTTTTTTTACTCACCCTGTATGAATAAGAGGACAAAAGCTTCCTCTCCCTGAATCCATCTCGTCCCTGAATCCATCTCGTAGCTTACATACTTTTCGTGACCTAGTATAACCCGCTTTCAAAGCGCTCAATTGAACTCTAAACCGCAATGCACTGTTTCCATGTTATGAGACAAAAGTCATGATAAGGTTTCTTGACACACTGTGTTTTCTGCAGTATGTTTACTTGTTTTTATGGCCCACATCAAATATTACGGCTATCGGAAAATAAACATGCAGCCTGCTTCTCCGTTATAAACGCGTCGTTAAACCCTCTGGCTAGGTCATATCACACCGATCGAGATATGAATCAACATGCTTCAACGTGATAGCTACAGTGGCCTACATAAATACACATGGATTGGTCGCAGTACACGCAATAAACACGGGGTACATTTGTACATGTATTTACATGGAAAACGTGAGCACATGCTCTACCGTGGCGATCATAACCTTTCGCCCGGTAAGGCCAAAAAAAATAAGTCTCCGGTTTCTGGTATGGAGCTTGTCCAAAAAGTGGTGCGGCGACGCGGCTTTTTTTTTTTTTTTACCTGACTTTTTTGCTTCAAATGTCGGCTGATGACTGCAAATGGTGCCCGACTAAACTTAGTGCAAATATAGGGAGTCCAGAGAGGCCACATAAAACTTATTCTCGATCATAACCCCATTTAAAAACACGTTAGAATTGTGCAGTAGCAGAATTCCAGTCAAACCAGTGAGTTTGGCGGTTTTGAGACATCATCTTTCATTGAAAAAAAACTTTTTCATTTTGCCGACGCGCATGGCTACGGCGACGCGCGCGCATAGCAGAAACCGGATATTTTTTTGTTTTGGCCTAATGTAATTACAGCCATGATTCACAACTTCCCGTGAATCCCGGACCATAGCCAAGTTCTTGTTATTGCTCGCATGAACCACACTTTAAGGTAGAGTAGGCCTATATCATTAATATTGCAGCTATCCAAAGAGTAACTGACGAAATTATTGTTCAGTGAAAAGCATACTTGGTTTAAAGATAGTAATGGCACTAAACTCCCTCTCCAATTATTCTTTCTGGCATGCTGTCGTTTTGAAGAATACAATAAAAGAAGGTCCTTTCCAAAGATTCGTCTTAAGACGCATCTTTGGAAATGTCCGTAAGTGGTTTGTTTTTAATTGGGCGAAGCCGTGAATGGGTGCGCGCAAGCGTTGTCGCGACGCACACTCGCGCGCGGTTGCTATTATCAGTTCAGCGCGTGACATCGCGTAGCTGCAATTGGCTGAATGAGAACATGTCTCAGACGCTGATTTCGGGGGCAATTCAAAACGTGACTCGGCAACTTTTGAACTGAAAACGAGATCCTAGAATATTGTTTTCTCGGGATATAATACATTCACTGAGCTAAAACTTCAGGTTAGTTGATATAAGCAACCTTCTTTAGATTTTGAGCACTTTTGTTGCTTCAAACAACAAAAATGCACAATTGACAAATGATATACTCTACCTTTAACCATTATCAACTTTTAGAAATGGGGAATAACAAAATGAGTCGGTTTCCACGCGAAGTTCCGTAAAATTGTCTGGCTAGACTTACAGCAACATTGTTTGTACGAAGAGAACAACACATTTTCTTGTTGTCGTTAACTTTCTTCTGCTCTTAGAGAGCAAAAATTGTACAGTGACTGACTCGTCTTCATAGCATAACTGCACTTTCAACCGAATCTGAACACCTAAACTCTTGCCAACCATAAATCCCCATATTCAAACACATTGCCTTTAGCTAGATCCAAACACCTACGGTAGGCCCCAGGTTGTTTTTTTTTTATATCTGAGACAAACTTGCGAGTGCTATAGTGACTTGTTTGTCTTATCAAGACCCGATTTTCTTCTTTTATATTCGTTGTGCTCCTCATCTGATGTAAGAAATAAACCTGTAGTTACTACATTGTATAAGAATATATCTATGGCAACATGTTTTGGACTTTTACATTTTCCCTATATGCAGGAGGCGTTGAACGAGTTTGGCGCCATTTTCTGGGCAGACGCGTCCGTCAGGTTTCTTGACTCCCTGCGGTTACTGTTGCCGTTTGCCAAGGAGCACCACGGGTACCTGTCGCGGATACACAGCTACCTGGCCAGGGCCACGTCTCCTATTTACCACAATTTCTACTACACCCAGCAGGGGATGTTCGACTATTTCGCCATCAACAAGACAGAGTATGCGCAGTCGGACAACGCGCCCCACATTGCCGCCAACCGGCAGCTGGTCGTCAACAGCACGACCATTCAAACCAGAGTAATCGGACCACTGTACGCATGCGCTGTGGAAAAGACTTGCATCAGTCCTCCCGGCTCTAAGCGCGGGAACCACCAGTTTGACGCCTCGGCGTTAATGCTGGTCTTTTACAAGTACCTGCCGGGGGAGTTCAACAGGGGTAACGATCACCTGAACGACATGAATAAAGTCATGAAGATGCACAGACTCTCCGACGATTGGCAAACAGCCAAAGTTTGTTAGACCAGGAAGGAAGGAACGCCGCCACGACTGGCTGAAGTCGCAGAACTTCTTTAAAGGGATGCGCACGTATAGTTCGTCGTGAGCTGCTGTAACCAAATTTTACCATGGATCAATTGTCGTTATGATGTGCCTGGGAATGGAAAGGCAATAAGCCTTTGTACTGATGACGTCACACTTCGTTTACAAATGCGCTTTTCTATGGGGCCATACGGAACCGTCGTCCCCACTATAGGCTCCCATAAGAAAGTACACATGTGAACAAAGTGTGACCTCATCAGTACAGAAGCTTATTAGAGTTGGGAAGCAAAAGTGCCAAATTTAAATGTACCTATAAATATTCAAATGTACTTGCGGTACCCGCTGCTATGTACATCAGATTGGAACCAGCCAACCGATCCCGTTAGCTCGGTGGTCGAGTGGTGAGAAATCTGCACTAGAAAGCAGGAGGTCATGGGTTCGAGCCCCACCCGAGTGATTTTTTTTCAACTTTCACTCGGGAGGTAACACACTGAGTATACAGTGTATATACGTCGGTGAAGGGCAAAACCTAATTTGATTTACTTATAAATACTCTTCAACAGTTGATGTGGTTGTGGGTAAGATAAGTTAATATGTATGCCACACAACATAACTTTTAGTGAGATATACAAAAACGACCATTTTGACCAACGCTTCTCATTGACTTACCCATTGAAATGTTGCTGCTTTTTCGCAAGAAAAAAAAAATAAAACACCTCACAACAGGGTCAGGCAAACAGGGTGGTGGGACGTCTGCAATATGTACTCCCGAAAAATGTCTCTTTTTTATGTCAATTAACAATAAGCTTCGATTTTAGCATTTTGTACTCTCTTTGCTTAAGCTGTAAATTTTATTCAAATGAGTTTTTTGCTCACCAGAGCTTTGATACCTGTATTTTTTGAGTATATAAAATATTTTCCTTAAATTCACAACATATACCCCTTTATTTTGTTTATGGTGTTGGAAAATTTAAAGATGACATATTGTTACTGGTGACAAGTAGGGATACATTGTAAGATCTAAGACATGGCATTAAGATCTCAGTGTTGTTTTGTTGAGTGCTCTGTCCAATGAGAGCCCATTGTAATATGACTCCTTAGGACAACACCCAATATTCTGTGCTGTCTCCTGCACGCATTCTTCACTCGGTTATGAGCACTCAATAAAAAAACACTGAGATCTTAATTCAGTGTCTTATAGATCTTACATGGTGTCAGAAGTGGGATGTGGTCTGATGTCTGATCATACTTCTGGCCCGACCTACAAGTATTTATATATGTCAAGGGTCACACATGTGTACTTCGATGTTACATACATAAGGCCAAGTAAAAAGAAAAACAGTTTCTCGTCCCCACCCGGCACCCGCTTTATATATTTTTCTTATTTATTTGTTTCCAGCAAAATTGTACCTATGCATGCAATTTCAAAATCTGGCAGAAAGGGCAAAGGCAAAAGAGTCGAGAAATTGGAAGAATCCATCCATCCTCTAGGGGAGAAAAAATTCCGCCTACTTCCTTTTTTTCGAAAACACGGACGAGAAACTACCGTATTTTTCTTTTTACATGGCCTTACTGTGAAGTATAAAGGATGCCTTCCGGTGCCTTGTCAATTTCACATTGCACCTGTTTTGCTTTTAGACCAATCAATTAAAACACATTGACTTGCAATGTTTTGCGTCAAAGCCTCTCGATTATCAGTTTAAAGTTAACGGAGTCAGTAACCCATAGGCAGTTTCGGTTGGTCGTTTGATGACCTTTGAACAGTTTATTTTTGTTTCTTTTTGGACGTACAAATTGAAAAACACAAGAGATACATCGGTATTAATTTAACTATTGGGGAAAAAAGCAAAACGGCTGCCGACAGATTATTCCTAATGAACAAAGTTAGGGAAAACTCCAATACGTTGCCTGCTTTTGATCACTGGGTTGAAAACCTGCAAACGCCCAAGATGACAAAAGTGATCATGTCGTGTCAATTTCAAAGGTCGAGGGCATTCCCAACTGTGCAGTTGTGTGCTGCAGGTTTATATTTATAGACTCTTATATAGTTGCACATCGTCTGCGAAGAGTGAAACTGAAAGTGAATATTCATGACAACGTGGGACTTAACACGTCATCATGCCCTAATGGGGGATGAAATTGTTCTTGGCGACGGAGTCCGTTGTAAATCATATGGTAATGTGTCTGTAGGGGAATCGTAAAGGTGTCGCGGTGCATAATTGCTTTCATGCATTATATTATTTCTGTCCGTGCGAACAGAGGCCAGATTTACCGGTAAGCATAAAGTATTGTAAACTAGATTTGCAAAGAAAACAAATTGCCCAGAATCGGTCAAAAGCAAGACTTTTATCTGGACATAAGCCAGTTCGGTATTCCAACCTAAGCATGAACGGTGCACGTTAGAAGTTGACGATTTTCAATATCGGAATAACCACAAAAGATAAACACTACTAGTGTATTGAAACCATGGTATTCTGGAATCTGCAGTTACGTTTAATTCCACGCAATCAAACAAAGATGATAAGCAGCCTCGGTGCCGTGGTGTCGAGCAGTGCGCTCCCACTACCTGCAGCTCTCGCGGGATACAGGAAGCACGTTTAACAGTAACACCCAGGGGTTACTATTGGAAACGAGGTTGAAAATAATTTAAGCCCTTGGGATGAGTCTGGATGATGTATGGGCTATCCGTATGGTCTACTTTGGACTTTACCCTCGCCGAAGGGGAAAGGTCAAGTGGCAGCTAGGTGGTACATGAAAAAAGGGAGGTCTAGAGGTGAACTTTGCCCTTGGTTATGACGTCACTGCGTCATGCCACAGGGTACACCCAAGCAAATGAATTCACCAAGACACGAGTGTTAAATCCCCATACTTCAAATTTTTTTTAAAAAATACTCCGAACTCTCCCAAGTATTTAGGCTGCACAGAAACATGATGATCAAAATGTCATCTTTCATCAATTTTTAGTGGATTGACTAATGACTATTCAAAATCACCCAAAAAAGACGACCTCTAAACTAAAGCGAGTGATGTTTCCCAAAGAGGAATAGCAGCCATCTGGAAAAAAAAAAGGATTCCTGCACAACATGGCTCAATAGCGCCACTTTCGGAAGCCCCAAATCCGGGCCAGAGGTGCATCGCCATAGCTCTTCATTTTTCCAATTCCATGGCTCTCAGAACTTTTTATTATAGAATAAGGGCCTATAACTTTTATTCGTGAGCTCGGCGGACGGATCTATTTACTGGGTTGCATCCTTCAAAGTCCACCATTCAACATCTCCCCTATACTTCCTGCCATTTGACCTTTACCCTAGAGGTCAAAGTCCAAAGAGACCCATTCAACTACTCGTGATAGTTGGATCAGTGTGAAAATACTGTTGTGGCCGACATTCTTATGTCGAAAAGGTCTAATATTTAAGAACAAAACTTAAAACAAAAATCGTTGGTAACCACTGTGATTTTTTGTACGCATTATAGACTGTTAATCACTGGCCCGAAGTGAAAATCATGAAATCTTAATGTGCACATTTGCAATTTGAAATGTTCTCTGATATTTTTGCTCGGCATTACAAAACAATCGAAATACTGCACTACACGTTTTCAAGCTGTTAAGATCACCGACAATTTGACCCTTTAAATCATTTATATATCGTGAAATTCAATTCATTTTATTGTAGAAAACTGTTAAGTCTAGACTTGCTATTCCAGGCAACGCGGCCTGGCAGTTGCTGGAATGTCAAATGACATCATCACAAATGTGTCGAAAGCGCACGCCCCAGAAATTATAGGTACAGACGCCCTGTCAAAACACACTTGCCGCAATCAGTAACGTCATGGTTCGGTGGCAATTTCGTCGACAAGGTGAAGATCGGGAGTGCGTTGGGCAATCGTACGTGACAATGGCGCGTGTATGATTTGATAATGCATAATTCATACTTTGATGATGCATAACTCATGCTTTGATGATGCATTATTCATGATTTGACATGGATAACCTACTGTATCATCAGCCTAAAGAGGGCGCTGTCCAATTATTAACAAACACGACGGGCGTCACTTCTTGAGTTATCTGTGGACAGGGGCGTCAATCGCTTCTCAAAAGTGGGGGGGGGGGGACACATACCTTGATCAGAAATAATGCAAGCGCGAAGTGCGAAGCCCTAACAGCGTGGGGTTCGGGGCCCGCTTAAGGGCTCCGAAAAAAATTCGGATTCTAGATGCTCATGTGGTGTGATCTGAGGCAATTTCTGACCACTTTAACCAATATTTTCTAAACAAAAGATAATGATTTAAACATCATTTTCTAGGTTGAAGTCATTGAATAAGCTATTATATTCTCAGCTAAAGGCGTGGGGTTCGGGGCCCGCTTAAGGGCCCCGAAAAAAAATTCGGATTCTATATGCTCATGTGGTGTGATCTGAGGCAATTTCTGACCACTTTAACCAATACTTTCTAAGCAAAAGATAATGATTTAAACATCATTTTCTAGGTTGCAGTCATTGAATAAGCTATTATATTCTCAGTTAAAGGCGTGGGGTTCGGGGCCCGCTTAAGGGCCCCGAAAAAAAAAAATCGGATTCTAGATGCTCATGTGGTGTGATCTGAGGCAATTTCTGACCACTTTAACCAATATTTTCTGAGCAAAAGATAATGATTTAAACATCATTTTCGAGGTTGAAGTCATTGAATAAGCTATTATATTCTAAGCTAAAGGCGTGGGGTTCGGGGCCTGAGGGCCCCGAAAAATTTTGGATTCTAAATGCTCTGTGGTGCGATCTGAGGCAAGTTCTGACCACTTTAACCAATATTTTCTTAGCAAAAGATACATTGTAGTACATAATAGGGCCCTGTAAATGAGGCACGAGTTCAAAAATCTGGGGGGGGGGGGACATTTGATATTGTGTCCCCCACCCTTCAAAAAGTGGGGGGGGGGGGACATGTCCCCCTGTTCCCCCCCCCCCCCCCATGTCTGTGGACAATTATGTCCCTTGTGCTCAATTGTTTTTGGTTGGTCTTTCTTAAAATTTGAAGTTCCCATTTCAAATTAATTAGAAATGGAGATATATCTATTTGATATAGAGAAATCTCTGTTAGTAATACAGATATCCCTATATTTCGGGATTAAATGTTTATTTTGCACACCATACACGTACACCCGCGTAGATTGGATGGTTAATTTTTTATCCTGCTCATCGAGAACGCTGGCTTCAAAAATTTACATAATGGTTGCAGACCAGTAAAAAATTTTACAAAGACCCCAATGATAAATGACCCCACTTTAGAAATTCCGGAAAAATACTCACAACTCTCTGAGGTGTTCAAGACGTACATCAAATTAAAGCTTATTTCATCATCTTTCATGTTCTATTCAATTTTTGGGGGTTAGACTGATGACTTTTGGGAGAAAATTTCATCCAAAGCTGATCACCCCTAAAAGCAGTCCTGAAACCCATCGCTATTTTGAAAATGGACGCCCATGCTCCATTGAATAGAGCCATTTTACGGACCTAATCATCATCCACATTTCACAGGTATACGAGCTCGCAGTCCTCTGCACGGCTACCAACCTTCTGTTTTACAAATCGTCAAGTTCACGGCCTTCAAAATTCTCCAATACTGAAGAATTTGAGGGCATGCAAATCGTGATTAAATTTGTCCGGCGTAGGCAATTTCGGACCGATTTACTAGTCTGCACCATTATGGACGCTGTAAAGTACGCCCTCAACAGTAAGAAAGGAGCACAATATTATTATGGCTCACCGAGTCGGCTGAACAGCGCCATCAACGGTAACTGCAAATAGTGCCGGAAAGTTGGCACCTCTGGTGGCGCGCTTCCAGGACCCTTAAATAGAAAAAATAACTTGGATAAATTCCAAAATTTGCAATTATTTTTGTTATATTGATTTCTTAAGAAAATCACCCACAAAAGAGGCCTTTGTAAAATATTATTCCATTTATGGAAACTCAAAAATCGCATGATAAGAGAGTTATCGTGCAAAAAATTGACCCCTCACTTCCGAAAATCTAAAATATATGTGGACTAGTGGGACTCGGTGTACTCGTAAAAAGATTTTTAAAAAAATCCATGATACAATATTTTGTGGCGGTCATTGTGTGAAAACTGAAACTTAAATATGAGACTAAAATGTTTTTTTTTTTAGGATATACGTATTTTTAAAATAAACTTGAAGGACTCATTAGCATTTACGAAAAAAAATCAAAAATGACTGCTGATGATAAGGACTGCATTCAAACTAGCCCGACTAAATCTAGAACCCATCGGCTGTAGGTAGGTATAACTCTTGGCGTCGTTATACATTTTCGTTCTCACGCAAGTACACGATGTGAAAACCCCCCAAAAAACCCGTGAACGAACAAGGAGACTTAGGAACGAACATGCCGGATGTGAAAGGTCGTAAGTAAAATTCGTTTTTACCCACGCTCATCATCATTTTTTTCCTGTGGAATACCAAGATAAAATTCCACTATGCATATTTCTCGGGGGTGATAACGGTTAGAAATCATTCTGTCAAAATAAATATAGCAAGAGAATGGGCAACCCCTTGTAAAATACCCATAGAAGGGTTGCGGAGGAGTCCCGAAGCTCAAAGACAAAATGGCTTCATGTACTTTCAAGCGCGCTGTAGCCCACGTGAGTGCGAGGCTAATTGAACATTTTGTAAAGTATCGTGACATGATTGTCTTCACACCACTCTTAATAGTTTCCGCTCAGGATATATCACTTGTTGTGTGGACGTATAGGCTCGGGCTCTTGGCCTTCTCGTCATCTGCTTATTAACTGTAAATTGCGGTTTTTCTATGGTCTGGTGTAGATTATTTTATCGCAACGATGTAATTGTTTTCACTATACCTTGCAGTAATTATAAATGCACATCGTTGCTTCTTGGAAGTCAGTAACGTGTCATAAAACGACCAATGATTCATTTTTAATTCCGAGACAAGGGCATCCAAGAAACAGGTTTGGATAAAAATCCTTACAATGGATTTAGGTACAATAGCGTACATAAATAAAATGCAACCCTGTAACGGCTATAACCGCTATTGTAGAAGATTTATGCATTGCATTTTATCAATTAAGTTTTGATATTTTAGTATCAAGCGCGATTCTAAACTGACCCCAACACTGTTGATGACAAAACAAGGTGCCATCAGGTCGAGTAAATTAATGATGAGGGCTCAGTAATTCCATGGAAATCGCGCACATTTCCACAACCCCGAGGGATTCGGTGCATGATGATGTCACACTTGCCCTCATTGGCTGGCGATCGATGGGTGAGTCTAAAAAGATACATTTTGATTGGCTGCATGGTAAAAGTTGAGCCTTTGTGTGGCCCAATTAGAGAAATATGCAAATGTATTGCAGGCAGCCGGCGTGCGTCACTTCAGGGAGCAGTACTGCTGTGCCTATGAATAGTAAGTCGAGTTGTGCCATTTGGATGATGCTCATGACAGTAGGTATGCATTACCATTACCCAGCAGGTCATTCCTCGTGGATAGCGCCAAAGCTCGACCTATCTCTGAATCCAGACACAGAAAGGCATAAATACAGTCCTCTGTCAGTCATGCTGTACTTCTCTACCTGTTTAACGATTCGACGGGTCGATGTCGTTTGCCAGACGATCCACAACAGGTATAATGCGTAAGATGTGCTCAACCGTGTGCATGATCACCGTTGTATAAATATTTACAGGCTGGACGGGATACCTAAACCGCATCATCAGCTGGAAACAGTTCTGCCGGGGGAATTCAATCCGCGCAGCTCGTATAATGGAGTGCACCCGTGGGCCAGACTAAAAGTTGACTTTGGAATATCGAAGTTCCAAAAGCAAGATAAACAGCATCCATCTTGCTGCAGTGACATCAAGGAGTGTGTGATAACAACATCAATTTTTTCCCTGCTTTTCCTTTCCTGGTTGTCAAGCCGACGGCATGAACTTCTATCGGCACTGACATTTTGATAGACGTTCGCCATTAGTGAAGTTGGCATGGGAGTTGTGGTTTGGCATGTGGAGAGGTAATGGCATCCATTTGTATAAAGTGAAAAGGGTAATCTTTACCAATCATCTTTGCTACTAGAGTATTTCAGCTAGCTATAGTGTTGCAGTCGGTAATGTGAACTGAGTAATGTACTTAATTACCGGCCCGACTGAAATTGAAACCCACCTATATACTCTCTCATACATTGTGCCACAGTCATCAACAGCAGACAATAATCAGAGCCAGGCTGGGAAGTCAGGAGCTTTGCAGAGTGACAGTTGTGCTCGAGACAAAACATGAACTTGAAGACGGTCTTGGATGTGGACATTCACAGCAAATTTAGAGCAGTCAAAACATTTGTATTTGACGAGGTTTAAAGCTAGCGTGGAAAGTCTCACCACACAACCTGCACCATGTTTCTGATGAGTGCACATTGAGACTTTACAGGGTGGAGTGTTTGAAGCAGATTGCGGATGCAACATTGGAAGGGAGTATCTCTGAAAATAAAAGAGAGGTGGTTATGAGCAAAATCAGAGCTGCCTATTAACAGGTACGTGTTTTGATCTCACTCAACCATGAGCGATCCGTCGACGTTGGACTCGAACTACAGCTATTATGATGTGTACTATTACGACTACGGCGATTGTGATTTCGCCATGAACTTCACCGCGGAGGAAGCGATCGAGTACTCGTACGACACTTTGAACGAGCTCTACGTCCGGATCTTTCTGCCTGTTATTTTTACATTGGGAGTTCTCAGTAACCTTGCGTTTCTGTGCGTGGTGTACAATGTGAAGCGTATGCGGACTGCCACCAACTGCTGCCTGACCAACCTGGCGGTGGCCGACGTGATGTTTCTGGTAGGGTCTGTCGGGAGCAAGCTGGTTAAGTACGCCAACAGTCCTGTGTCGATTGATGATAGTTCGCTTGGACGTGCAGGCTGTATCGTGATGTACCTCATCAGCGATACGGCTTATATTTTCTCCTTGGCGGCGATCACTTTGGTGTCTTTCGAGAAGTTCTACGCCGTGTGCTGTGCCCACCAGGCCCTGGGCGACTCCCGCCGGCGGGTCTTCGTTCGTCTTCTGGTGGCTTCCTGGATCGTGGCTTTCTGCGTGGCGGCGTCGTTCATCCCGTGCACCATGGAGTACGTCACCCTCTGCTCCGGGTGGCCTTCTGATGAGAGATACCGGTCCTGGCCCAGTCAGATCGCCTTCTGCGGGCCGGTGGACGACTGGGCTATCGTGTACGGTTCCGGTGCTCAAGCTATACCCTTCCTTCTCATATTCCCCGTCAATGTGTACCTGTATTTCCGCATCATCGTCGGCATCACCCGAGCCATCAAAGACACCAGCATCGCCGGACGGAGACAGAAGAACATACGCCAGAGAAACCAGATAGCCGTCATGTTGATCGTGAACGGGGCCGTCTTCTTCATCTGCCTGGCTCCCTTCGAGATGATCAGTCTGTTTTACATGATCGCGTACTCTCGAGAAGAGCCGGTATTCATCCTTCCTGCGGACACACGGCAGAGCCTGACGTCCTCGGCTCGGTTGCTTGCGTACATCAACGCTGCCATCAACCCGTTCGTGTACACCTGCATGAGCGCGCAGTACCGGGACGCGTTCCGCCAGACCTTCGGGTTGGGGTGCTGCAGCCGGCCCGGTACCGACGCCGAGAGGGAGTCGGTCTTCAAACGAATGCGACGAATCTCCGTCAATCTCACGGCGTCGACCTCAGCTGGGGGCAGCATGAGAATCTACCATTCCGTGCGTCCAAGAAATATACGTGTCTAGCATTATTAACTTAAAAGAATTAGATATATTTTTTTGTTCAGAACATGATTAAAATGTATTTATTTTGGGGGTATGGAGGGACCACCAGTTTGTGCGAACCAATGAAGGGATGAATTACCACAGAATCATGTGAAAATCTCTCTTGCGCTTGTAAAGAGAAATAGGCCTAACTATGAGGTGGAACCTGTTGTAACTTTGAATGTTTTCAACCTGTGGGCTGCTTTTAATTCAAATAAAGAAACCATAATATCTAAACCTGATGAGAAATTCCACGTTTCGATCGGTATATGCTGATCGTCTTCATAAGTAAAATGATGCTTTAGACAACTGTTGCGGTTTTCCCTTTTTAGTCAGTGGGCTTATGGGGGCCCATACGCATTTTAGGTACACAATTTGAAACTCTCAGGATCTTTTATGGATACCACAATATGTTCAAAATCACTTGATGCAAAGTTTTCTGACCCTTTTATGGGCAGGGCCATGACATTAAAAAGTGGGGGTTTCGCCAGCAAAAAAAAATTCCAATATTTCACTTTTCTGTTTTCGTATGTGGACAGCTCACCAAATTGCAACATCATGGGAAGAAATAATTCCAGAATTTTGCCTCTGTTGGGGGTGGGTCCACATTTTAAAAAAAAAGTGGGGGGTGGCAAAAGGTGTAAACAGAAGTAGCTGTAACAGGAAATAGTGGTGCGGGTTTTTTTTCACTCCAGTATAGAGAACGGGCGTGGGCAGAATGTTTACATGTCAAATCGAAAACCTTTTGTTCCCCTATGGGGGCGTGTCAAAATTTGTTTCCTAAAAAGGGGGCACACCTTGCATATAAACAAAAAAAAACCAATCTAACCCATATTTTGAATTATTTTCTAAAGACATTAAATAGGCAAACCTATAACGTCCTTTAATGCTCAATGAAATGTTAGCTGGTATGTCTTTGTTTTTAAGCGTAAAACAAAAATCTCGAAAGTGGTAGGAAAAGAGTGATTTCTCATGAAAGTCCAAATTTATGTCGGTTTTTAGGTCTGAAATCAGCGAAATAATTTATTTTCTAGTATACATCTGTGAACGTATTTCAAATTGCTATTTATTTATTTGATAACTGAAATTGACACAACATTATTTTGATTGTTCACTCACATTTACTCATATCTGGGGTTTTCCCCTTCCCTTGTATATTTCTTTTCTTTTTGGCTTATTTCACCATTTTTGCCCAAATGGACGCCCATTCCAAGAACAAAAAGTTCAGAGTAAAATGTATTCACTTGTACATTCTTCATTTTTGGCTCAGAAACAATTCCCCCAAAACATGATTTTCTGGGGATATAACAAATGGCATCAAGTGGATTTGGATTCCATAGTGTTTCATTAATAATCCCTTAAATTTTCAAAGAATTTACCCAACATTGCATAATTATGGGAGATGATTTTTTTTTTACCATAAGCCAACTGACTAATTTCCATGCAATCTTTCCGACGTACTCCTCAACGTATTGTCTGATTTAAGAGTAAAACTGAACATGTTATTAAAACTGTGTTAATTGAGGGTATCAATCAGTACTCCGTATTTTCTGTTTAATTTTCTACCATTATTTTTCACTATGCATCATCGCTTGTAGGCTTAGCACACATAGCATACTGGTTCAAATTTCAAAATACGTGTAAGTGTGCAGTTTTCAAGCCCATCCCATGTTTCTGTGTTTCTCATACGGGGATAGACACAAGGGCAAAATGATAATGAGCGTTCAATAACGACGCTTTTACTTACGTTGTGTGATCGCTTTGTTTCAATATTTAATTGAGTTGTGGTATCTGTGTCGTAGCTAGAGCTGTAGAAATGAAGGTTGCGTGTCCGATTCCTCATTTTGAATCAGTAGTAGACATGCATAATTTCTCTCATGGCCACGTCATATGAACATATATACTTTGTTCCTGGCTAGCTAATAGAAGAAAATGAAAGGGAAATTTTCATTTCATATTATGTTGTAAAAATAAGTTTATTTCGTTTAGGGTTGGATTGCCAGTGAAATTTTCCTCGTGTGACTTTGCCTTATAAAATATCGCAAAATGATTACTCAGTTTGTCTTTTTTTCACAAATTATTAATTGATAAACATGCGTGTATAAGCGATTATGATAATTAGTACAATATCGGGGTTTTATCAATTTCTTCAATGAAATAAGTGATGGTTCTGAAAGAATATTAGCCATTTCTGAAGAAAAGAAGTGTTTTTTTCTCTGAGAAATTCCAATGACTGTTTCTTTCAGAGCCAACACTTCTTTTCATATAGGAGACATCGAAATTCACATGCTGCATCACTCATTCTTGTTTAATTCCGCCGTGAAAACTTCATCAATCTTATTGTTGCGATTGTAAAGTACCTAATAAAATGTGTTGATATTGGCGTATATATTTTCCAAAAAGCTACAAAAATAGCGGCAAAATACTTTTATATTATCTATGAGAAATAAAATTATGTGATCTTTTTTTCAAGATCCGTGGTTTTCTTTTTAATTTTGCTGGTTTAACCCTCCGAGCAGCGAAGTGGTGATTTCATTCACCACATTTTCCAAATATGGGCATATTTTTTTTCAATGGGCCAATAAGGCCAAGCTTCCATGTAATCCTCACCCCCTACTATACACCACAAGCCTGTAGACTCCCATTGGCCAGATCCTACCCACTCCGGAGTAAGGAGTGTTGAAAGACAGAAGCCAAGATGGCGCCCAATGCCTTTGTGCAGTAATGGGAGATCTTAGTGGCCAACCCCTAAGTGCCGCCGATCGCTTTGTGTCAACCCCTCGTGCCACCAGGAGCCCAGACAGGTTGTAAACAATCCCTGGCCATGTGAATGACCTATATCTTGTGCATGTACAGGCATGCCAGGGTTATTGACCTATAAACACATGTGGTGATAAAATTCTCCACGTGGTTCCACGGTGTGATTTTTTTTTGATAAGCTGCCCGGAAGGTTAAAGGTGTACTAGACCATTATTATAACAAGACAAGGTGATAGAAGTTGGTTACATATCACAGGTGAGAGTGACCAAAGTAAAATTTACACCCTTTCACTGAATTGATTGTATTTATGGATCTAGGGACCCACATGAAATTGGGTCAAAAGAGTGGATTGAGAAATAGTCAGGCTTTAATGTGATACATGATTTCATTGATGAAGAACCATACACAGTTTTAATTATTTGTTTTCTGAATGTTGCACTTTTTTGGCACACTCTTTAAGTGAAGTACAATTTGATATATTGATACCCGCAGATATTCAGTTCGTATCCTCCATTTTCAAGACCATCATCCCACAACTATTACTAACCCGCTCAAGGGCAGGAAAAGAGTGATCAGTCTGACATTTTAAAAGAGGCGATTTGTCACACAAGACTCGATTGTCGTGCTCTGCAGAGCATGAGTTGATTGAGTTCACATCAAATGATATTTGCTTGGGATGGATGCATTAATCTGAGAGACTTTGAAGAAACTGTTGCGGATGCAGATGGTATATAGGTTTCATTGACTAATGTGTGTAAAATGAACCAAGGCGGGTGTGATGGGCTCTCTCACGGGACCATCCGATTAATCATGGCATTCCCCTTCTCAGTTTCTGGGAATTGAAAGACAGGAGTGTCGTCAGCTTGGAGTCTTTACGGGCAAAAAACAGCCCACTTATAGCAGGAAACGACAACTTCGATTAGCGAGCATTTTGCAGCCACTCACAACCAGTAACAATATCGGACAAAGCCGGGTCAAAAATCACAATCCACGTCGCTTCCTTTTGCCTCTAGCAGACCAGGCTTTTATTTTAGCTGATCCGTAAATTAAAAAGAAAAGCAATTGAATTAATAGGGACATAAAAAGTTGACCACTTGAGGCAAGCAGACACATTGAACTGCTACGTTATTATAGGTCACGTACACGTACGTGATTGATTTGAAGTAAATCTTCATGGACACGAAACGACAAACTACGGCAAGTGAGTAAGTGTGTACCAAATTGAAGACTCGTCTGCGGGTTACCACGAGTAGGATCCAATCACAAAGTGGCATCACGCGCGCGCTAAGCACTCCTTAGACCAATAGGGTAGAATCACACGTGCGGCCATTGCTCCTTCGACCAATAGCACGCGCCTAATTTCCATATTCATGAGCAAAATGGTGATGTCATTTCCGGCAGAAAAGCAATGCTACAATTAGTTTCAGCACCAAAAGTTGCAAGAGTGTTTAATTTCAAACATTCAACATTCTATTTCACTTTTAGTTTAATGCCATCGGCACCAGATACAACTAGGGGTTTCTTTTTCATTAACCGTCAATCAAATTAGCTGTACCTGAAATCAATTTAGAAAAGGAATGCTTGCGTAAATGAATGCACAGGTAACGTAATTGGCCGTCTGTTTCTCAAAACCGAATGCATGGACAATGAAAACGAGTGAATTTTCGTTGAATTGAAATGGGATTAAAGACGTTCATTCAAATTCAGACGAAAAGAATGACCGATTTTCAGAAGTGATTGAAAATTTCAGGAAATTGGCCGGGAAAACCTATACTTTGCTGTCGCAAATTTTCTTTTCTTTAGTGACTCGTTGTTGTGTCAGTACATGGCAGTAAGCCAATTAATGAGCAAACTTTTCTCACAAATCTTTTCAAAGAACAGGTTCACAATTTGAACAGAAAACACCTAAAACGAACAGTATCTTCCTGAAATGACATCATAGCAACAGCGCCCTATTGTCCGGAAAAGCATAGACACTGTTGAAAGTTTAAAGAAATGCACTTTTAATTAACTTTAATCAAAAAGGGATGTCAAATAGTATTCAACTATTTAAGAGGATTAGAAAAGTTGCACAAAATATTTTACTTAGAAAAAGTCTCTTTAATGGCCCTTTAAAAATAGATCCATGCAAGCGGAATAATGTAGTAGGCCTACATTCCATCCGTGCATCTGTACTGCTGCTGACACGTATACGATCGGCAAACGCTCTATCGGATCACGTTGCAGTTGTCGGTAACTGATAGATGGAAGGATTAGCTCTGTGTTATATGACGCACACTGCATCTCGTCCAAACAATATTGCCTTTGCAGAAGTCTATGAATTTTGTGGATGATTTTTTTTTAATTCTAAAGTAAGTTCTCCCGTCGTGTTGTAAATGCCAATTAATGCTGATGAAAAGATTATTTTTTTAATTCCTCTTTATTGCTTGCCGGGTTTATAGCTGGGTTTATTGTGAATGTGAGTGTCAGCATTTAGGTCTAGAAGTAGAACGGTACATGTCAAACTTTTCTCCCATTTCGAAGCACTAATACACACAATTTAGAACTTATTTTGCAATATAGGCCCCATATATATTTGTTATACCCCTGCCTTGAATACTGTATTTGCATTGGCCTACTATAAAGATCACGTGTTAAGTTTACAAAAAAATCATGGCACACTCCCTGTGGGACGTGATATCCCACAGGGAGTGTGCTATGACTTTGTACGTACGGTGTGAAACGCTTCTATCGTTGGCACCCTTGCTATTTTCACCATGTTTTCACATTATATGAGTGGGAGCAGTGAACTAGCGGACTATTAGCTGTTTCGAGCACGCGACATGCATGTGAGTTGTTCGATTGTCATGTTTGTTGTGTTCCTGCAGTGCTGTTTGTTTTCGTGATTTGTACATACAAATCGAGAGAATCCAAGACAGAGGTATAGGCTTCGCCTCGGGTGCTTTGCGTACCTCGGGTGTTCAAAACGACATATCCACGCCACAGCAGTCACCAATTGTTAAATATGTAACCAGGAATTTTCGTTCCAGTGAATGACTTCGTTCATCTGCTACACGACTCATGAAAAGCACGACCATCGAACTTTTTTGATCAGAAGGTTTCCTATTTTGGATATTTCCATTTTCAGATTTCGAATTTCAGATATCTCTATATTTACACCCATATTTTTCAGAGATTGCTTTGTGCATCAAAACCTCGTTCCCAGACTGTGGCAATCAGTGCACCGGACACAATGGCGCCGAGACATTAGTTGCCAGGGGGAAAAAATCAATTACGGAAAATAAATCACTGAAATTAGAGTTCCCGTCGCCATTCGGCGGATCGGACACTTGAAACGTTTTCCTTGATCGGAAAAGCTGATAATCATGAATTATGATAGCCTTACGAGCAACTAACCTATCTATATTTTATTTTTTTTTCTCTCTCTCTCTAAAAAATATTAGTCCGGTTCCC